AGTTTCTTCTTAATCTTCTGATGCACTTTTCAATTTCAAAGCTGTGCATAATATAATTTATCGTAATGATAAGATATTTACATTGCTTTTGCAGCAGAATATCGCGATTATACAGTATAAAGAAAATATAAATCTCAGCATCCTTAATTAAAATTCTGTTAAAGCACAATTTATTTGAGAGTAAATGGAACTTTGTAACTATGGTTTTTGCAAGAATCGATATTTCTGTTCGTCGATATTAATTTTGTATATTCAGATAATCTAAATAAATTCTTTTTCGCGTTTGAGAAGGAAATTAGAGTTAACAAATCAAGTGATAAAATTAAGAATCTTTTAAAATACGTATATTGTAATTATAATATCCGTAAATTTCGTGCGCGATTTAAAAATAGTGGCTATTATATTTTTGTATTTCGAAATACTTGATAAAATTTGTTCTCTGAAAAAATATATTTGAAATCAATAACACTACTAACACTATAAAAGATAAGCTCCGTTATTTAGTATCTGTGAGAAATGAAAGCTTTGAGGAAATAAAAAATATATTATGAAATATCAAAAATATTTTATACACCACTCGCAGATATGTGTATTCGGAATAAATAAAAAATATACAGAACAATAAGTGCTCGTATTGTCGCGCTCGTTGAAATCTGGGATCAAAATCCATACGATTTTATAATACATTTTATTTTATGCGGATTGCACGGATCTTAATTGTTTGCCGATGCAAAACGTTCCTCCGTAATAATCCGGATAATCATCGACGACAAACTCCGGAGATGGTTCAACCGTATCGCTTCCATTTTACACGGTTTACGATATTAGCTGTCGTGCTTTACGAGCCACGAGGAAGCGAGAAAGAGAGAGTTATACAGACACATCATTTTCCCCGGGTAAGAGCGTCTTCTGCTGTCCGCGTCTCAATGTAATCCACCTCGAGGGGGTTGCACCAACGTCGGTCATCTCTGGAAAATTGCGGCTTGCATCGGATCGAGATTAAACTCCCGACAGTCTCCGCGAAATACACATACGGAAGGCTTTCGTATCATTACGTCTGTGTTCATATGCATATATATGTATATTTGTGTGTGTATTTATATACATGTTTGTGTAAATGAGTGGCTACATGCGCTCATGTACGAGGAATGAGCAGACATCTGGCTTGTACATCTCGTCTAAGAACGCAAGAGGGTAATGTGGGAAAAGGGTTACGCCGGGGAAGAGCATAGTTCGCAACCCTTTTAGCTTCTTACCCTTCGCCACGCGCCATCAGCGTTTCCTCGCACTTTCGAAATGTAGTCGCCAGTGGTGCATTATCGCGCAGATGCCTTGAGCTTCGAGAAGGTCTGCCCGAAACCTTGTGGATGTGTATCTCTCTCTCTCTCTCTCTCTCTCTCTCTCTCTCTCTCTGTAAATCTTTTATTAAAAATATTAATAAAAATATAATCTATATTCACAAGCAACTATAAAATATTAATTTCCAAGCTTTCAATTTATTTCACAGTGATAATAAAATTTTATACGAAAATGTATTACATTCACGCTCCACCCGTGAATGTTGAAAATAATATATAAAATGAATAAATTATACGTAAAATAAATAAAATACAAAATAATGTATAAAATAAATAAAGTACAAAATAATATAATAAAGTAGAAAATAAATAAAGTATAAAAGGATAAAGCATTGAAAAAGGAAACCGTTAATTATATTAAAATTGAGATGATTCATCAAGCTTTTTTCAAGAAATTCTACGTTCTGAATTTTTTATTAACAGCTTAGACATTAGGAGGTTTAAAATTGCCTCGTGTTTTAATTTATTTCTAGCTGCCTTAGGTTACCGCTGGTCTTCATTTTCCTCGCTAGCAGTAGTTCGCGTCGGTTCAGAGGCCTCTTTTTCGTATTTCACTTCACTTTTTCGAGATTGCCAGCCGCCTTCGTTATTGCCGCCGCGAATTCTCGAGTTTCCCGCGGCTACTGCCGGGTTCTTTGTGTTTGCCGGTTGCCCGGGTAATCTTCGAAGAGTTTGCTCAGGATGAAATATGTAGTTTCGAATTAGACGGTTACAACGTCGAGCTCTGTAGGTCCATGAAACGCACTCTAAGATGACGCGTTCTCCTCTATACGGATGAGTGGCTCTTTAGAAGCGAGGTAGAACAAAGTACGTCTGAAGAGCGGAAGTAAAAGGTGCGCGTGGGCGTCTCGCGGTACGAGATTATTCATATTTTGAATACGAAGAAAAAAATATAACGCGACTGGTAACAAATCTCTTTGTTTCTTTTCGCCTTTGCTCCAAATGCAATCGCTTTTCTTTCGGAAATAACATCAGGTTTCGGCATCACATAAGATTTCTTATTTTATCGAAATTTAATTGTATATTATTATTATTATTATTATTAAAAAGTATTATTAGAGATATTAGAGATATTAAATTATTAGAGATATTAAATTTACTAATTAACATTTTGTTTTAATTGTATGTGTGTGTGTGTGTGTGTACACATACTGTTAAAGCAAAGCATTAATTAATTAATTTTATATATGCATATATATAATTAAAAAGCAAAACATTAATTAAATAATTTCATTAATTAATATAATAATTCATTTTAATAATTATAATTAATTTTTACATTAATTTCCTTCACTTTGCTAAGTAGAGAGCTTTAATACGTCTTTCATTCTTCTCTACATTCTCTAATTATTTCGCTTAAGTGTACGTGTGCGGACGTTTAGTCTATATAGTCGATATATTTATAAAATTAATTGAGTCCATAAAATTAGTTGAATTTTTTCAAACGAGAAATCAAATTTTAATATATCTAAATATTTGCGTTTACAATATTTTCTTATTTTTTATTATTATATATAAGGTTAAACGTTATTTCACATTTCTTTCTGAATATACGGTTTTTAATTAACTAACTGTATTTAACTTCTCATTAGCTAACTGAGACTCCAGTTCTTGAGGAAAACTTTGCATACTCTGGTTTTTATTTTGCTACAATTAACAAGCGTTGTGTGACTACTCAAATAAAACAAGATATCCCGTAACAATTATATATTTTGATAATGTATTGTAGTAATTAATTAGAGAACAGAAATTGATTATTACAGCAAATTTGAATTCTATGAAATTCACATAAACTTAATTAACTCAATTTTCAATATCTATTTTATAAATGAAATATCTATTATTTCGAAGGAAATAAAATAATAAAACAATATTAAGTAAGAAAAGTTAATTGAACATATATTTTGATCACTTTTAACAACTCCGTATAAATAATAATAAACACAATTTGCAAAAATAAATTAAATATATATAATATGTAATAATATATATGTAATGACATATAATATTACATATAATGTATGTACACAATATAACATGTAATTATCTAATATAATTAATACAGTAGATATAATTTATATTACATAATTAATGTTATTAATATTATAAATATTATAAGCATTATTGATATAAATATTTTTTTATAATATCAGTAATGCTTATAAATATATTTTATATCTTACACATGAATGCATAATATTTTATATATAATTAATATATATATATATATATATATATATATACATATATTAATATATGCATACATACATATAAATTTCGGAGTATCCTTTATAGCAATAATATAGAAACCATTAACTCGAACGATTCAAGTAGGGTGTGATATATCACTATTATCTCGGAAAAAACGATCCGTCACTTTAAGGATGTTTTGTACCTATTTTTAAAATATTGAGAATTTAATGAAAATTATACAGAATGTTCTTACATGTGTTTAGAATTTTCAGTACAATTTTTAAAGCGTTCACAAGTTATAAGGATTTTAATTTGCAACGAATATGTGTTCTTATGGGAAACGTATAACCACGTCAATTCAAATGACAAAAACACACGGAAATAATATTCAGAATTTGTTGAAAATTTGCAAAAGTTTAGATACAGAGGAAATATTTGGTCAAATAATATTATAGATACAGAGGAAATATTTGGTCAAATAATATTATACAAGTACTAAGTGATTAAAAAGATATTAAATATAATTCAATGAAGTTAGCCATGTATCTGTCACAATTCTCTGCCAAAAGTGAATCATTTCGATTAACAAAATTCGGAATATTTCAATAAAAACGCAATAAATATTAAAAAATACATCTCTAATATTCCACACAATTTCTCATACTCAAAATACGCCAAAAGTGGATATTCAATATTGATTTTCAGCTACTCTTTGCTAGGATTGTACATACAAAACATCCTTAATTAACCAGCCATTAATTTCACTCGCGACATATCGCGCTGTATTAGTATAAACGAACTTGGCGCGCGATCTTTCGATCGACGAAACGTCACGAATGTGGAACGGAACGTCACGAACGTGAAACGGACCGTCTTGAACGTGGAACGGGACGTGGCGTAGATCGAGTCCGCGTTTAATTAGTAAGTAGTATCCTAATTTTACTTTATACCCTGTTATATTTATTATGTTAATTTAATATCGATCAATTTTAATTTAATATTGGTCGACGAATGAACTCGACGGTCCATCTCCTGTCAAATCAAGGGAGAGCTATTCGATCGAGACGTCCCGCAGACATTTCGGCGAACCTAACCGCATTCTCGAGTGTTGGACATTTCACGCGCGAATATTCATCATTTATAACCCGCGTATTTATTCACTTATGATGCAGCACGAGATGGTATAATCGCTGGAAAACGCGCGAATATATTACCTGTTAGCAACAGGTGTAACGTTGTCGCAGCGAAGGGCGCATTTGTCGAATTTTCTCCCGCCATTCAAAGATTCACTCATCCCGCTTACGAGCGAATCATAGCTCTGTACGATCATGATACTCGCGTTATTCTTTTTACTACGTCCCGTAATAAAACTTGTGCGCCTCGTGTAAAATGCCGCATATTATACGATGATTATTTCACGCCCAGCTATAATTAATCATGTTTCCGCAGGTGAATATTGTGCAAGTGAACGAGCAATTTGGAAAAATAAGAGCGAGGAAGGAAAGGAAGGGACGAGGAAAAACGTCCGGTTACAACTGCAAAGTGAGTAATGCTTTATTTTATTTTATTGTATTATTTTTTTGCGTGAAAAATAGCAGGTGGGAAAAAGTTTCCGTGTTGCACGCGTGTAATGTATTAATCTCTCTTTTAAAATTGTTTAAAAAGAAAGTATTTAAAGAAGAGCACGCTTTTCTCGCACACTTTTTGTATTCCCTGCATCTGATATTCATAAAAGTGACTTTTTTCTACCTGGATATTTTATTTTATTGTTAGAGAAGCATGATTATGTAATTATACGCAAGCCGATAACGTTTGACATATCGATTTGCTATCGATTTGCGCTTATCGGCCTTTGTTTCAAATGTTGAGCTTGCGGATAGAGAAACTAAATGCGGCGCAAAAAAAAGGTAATTGAATGTGGGCTACGCTGTTCTCACTAATCTCTAGACGCAATTAATCATCGAATATCGCGGATACGTAAACTCCTACGTTATTTATCGCCCTTTTGAAATGCACGCATTGAATAAATTTCTTATTCATGCGATGTGAAAAATTGCCGCTTAATAACCTATTCCTTTTCCATTGCGATTCTCGTACGTTTGCTTGTAGCTTGAAATTATTTTAATTGGAAGCTTTATTTATTTCCACAGCCGTAAAAAAAAGCCTTACGCTCGATTCAATCCCAGGTCAATTGTAATTAATAAAATTGCTTCGCGCGCGAAGCTTTTATTTGGTTACGCCTTGTGTACCTCTCGCGAACTATAAGGGAATTAAGTTCTGTAATTAAGTTTAATGGTGTGATGTAAGCAACGCGTTACATCGTATGTAACGCGAGGATAATCCCGTTTCTCTGTTAGCGCTCGTTGGATAGTTTGCCCCAACTTGGCGGCATCGTTATAGCAGCTGGAACGAGCTGCGGAAGGGCAAAAAGATGAGGGGGGGAAAAAAAGGATATGGTGCAATCGTCGCGGTCGGTTTAAGAAGAATCGCTGGCGCCGGGCATTCCCGACGACGTCGAAGCGAGAATAGTGGTCGAGGTAAGACGTGGACGAGGGGGGAGGCGCGGCCAGGAAGCGCGCCCTTTCCTCCAGATGGAGAAATATTACGGTCATTATCGCGGTGCCACGAAAGTTTGGCCGAGTCGGTCCTTTTCCCTGGTCCCCGAACGCACGACGGGGGTGAAAGCTCCGACTGCGTGTTTTTTTATCAAACGATTCTCCCCGCACGTCGTATCCTGTCGAATTCTCGTCACCATTACTGTACCGACATCCCGTAAAAATAACTCGATCGTAAGGTTCGCCCATTGTCGGTCTCGGGAGAAGCGAAAACTCTCCGGCGAACGAATTATCAATTATCGCGCGCTCGTTGATTTATCGGAGCGTTTAATGAAGGGCGGGACTTTTCGTCGACGTGATAAACTCGTACACGTGCTTTCCGGAAAACTTATGAACCCCGCGTTATTATCAAAGTTTATGATAATTACGTTCTCCCCTTATTTCATCAATCGATGGTCTTCACTCGGGAGTGCAGTGTCTTTATCAATCTTATCTATTTATCCGTGCTGTCTGAATGAAAACGCGAGATGTAGAACCCCTGGTAGTATAAAGTATGGAATCCTGATTAATATGACTTATCGGAAATAAGAGAAAGAATTAAGACAATTATTTTATGTCATCTCGCGCGAAGGGAAAGACGATTCTGGGAGATTCGTCTGTTGATTTATTAGGAATAAGAAATCGAAGATGTCACGACAAATTGAGACAAATTGCCGTTTCAAGAGTTTTTGCTCACAGACAGAGTCGCAAAGCCCATCTTATTAACAAACAATATATATATAGGGAGAGGGAAGGGAAATATAGAGCCATTGTAACATATAACGGCTCAATTATCAAGAGAGACGACGGTTCGTTTGTCGAGCACGTCTGCCAGCTGGCTCCCGCTTGTATATCGCTGCGTGCTCACGAATCACAACGACAACGAACGGTGTTTCCGCCGGTTAATGTTCGCGATAGTTTCCTTCGAGGTCCTTTGTTCCATCGTAATGACCAGGACGCTCTTCTCTTTCCAGTCGGCTTCGAGATTGCGTCGTAAAGAACGTTATCTCGGAGCAGTGTTTTCATCGGATTCTCCTCCGTCTTACTTGTTCTCTCCTCCTCATCCTCGTGAGTAGCGTCGCGCAACAACGATCGTTTTCGTTTTCGCGAAGGAAGAAAAATTGCGTCGTCCCCGTCGTCGCTGTTGCCGTTGCTCGAACATATACATGCACATATATATGTATATATATATATATATCGCCAGCATGGTCCGTCTATGGAAATCGCGAGCGAATCTAAATATTTATGTCCCGGGTATATGTACATATCTTACGTGCTGCGGATTTTTCTTCCAAGAGCCGTCGTTTGTGTGTGTACGCTTGAACATTTAGCAAGATCGCGCCAAGTGTTGGCGACACAATCGTATAATCTAACGTCGTCGGGACACTGACGTTTCGTGACAATCGTGGTTTCCACGCTTTCGATAAGCGTAATTGATCTGTGCCGTCTAATTCCCGCGAATTATACACAGTAAAAAAGTGAAATATATTATTAAATATTAATTATAATGTATAATTATAAATTAAATGTTAATTATATAATATATAATTATACATTTTTCACGTGTCCCAGAAAGTCCACTCTAAATTTTCAATTAAATAATCTCATTCGTATGTTACTTATTGACAGACTTGAAATGTTAAATAATTGACATAATACTTTACATTTATTTTTGTTTTTGTGATTTTAAGCGTAATGTAAAAATGACATACAAATTAATTAAAAGTTACATGGAAAAATAGTTACACTAACTCGTAAGAACTGTTGTAGGATATTAACATGTAATAGTAATTATTTTAACTTAATTTATTTGTAATAGAAACATTTGAGTTTAGTAAATTTGATTATTTTGCATGTCAAAGATTATTTGAAGATTATTTGATAATATGTCAATATGTGATTATTTGATATATTATTTAATAATCTTTGACGTACAAAAACTGATGATAATAATTTGATAATAATTTGAAGATTATTTGAGATAAATTTAAGATTATTTCAAGATTTACTTTAACTTTTCTTAGAATGTTAAATTGCCTTTGAGACATGTTAATTGTTTAAAATGATATATTAAAAATACCCAAAATAATATTCCATTTCTAAGAGACATATACAATGTGTTAAATGTTATGTGTTATGAAGTTAATATAAACGTAACACATGAAAACGTTATAAAAATAATAATATATATGTTGTATGTTAATTTTACATTAAAGTAATCAAAACGTGGTAACACAAGAAAATTTTAATATATGAACGCACAATTTTTTACTGTGTAATATATCAAATTAAAGTACTAAATTAAATAAGATGGGTATTAATATCAAATTAAAATCTTAAATGTGATGGATAATATTTATAAGCCTTACGTCAATTCATTCTCTTCTTCTTCATATTAATGGTTCAAAAATAACTAAACGATTACGTAAATGAGAGGAAATTGCAAAGGAAAGGACGCGAAGAAAATTCATCCTCCATTATGAACAGTTTCTATAAATCAATGAACACGAGAATATTAATAAATCTTGTACCGCGATAAATCGAGCTTTCGCTTGCTTCTCGATATCGACAGTCGGAAAAATCTCGCAAGTAAATTATTTTTACGGATTGTTAGACAGTAATAGCGATAAAACTCGAATAAAAGAGATTAATATATTTAATTTTCTTTTTCCGTTTTTTTCGCTCGCCAAATATTTTATGTTCCATTAGGATAAATTTGGATCTTGCCATCATCTTCAAGTCTTCTATCCGGTGATATTTTCCACGACCCTGAGAAAGTTCGCCCTAGGACAATAACGAATGCGTCTCTTTTTTCATCTCCCTCTTTTTTTTCTCTTTCCTTACAAATAGATTCGAATTCGCGAGCCAGTTTACTAGAAACATTCCAGCCATCACCGGTATCTATTTCCTCCCATTTGCCTGCCAACTTTTTTCCCCCTTCGGGTGTATCTTCCAGGTGAAATCGAGCACCTTTTACTCGTCCGTGGAAACCGTCGATTTGCCGACTCGTAAACGCACGACTACGATCGCTTACACTTGGACTATGTTGAGTTCGTTACCCTTGCGTTAACATTTATGTTATCATTTGCCATGAAAAATGGAGGACGGAGATCGATGCCGTCGCGAACTGCGGTGGCTCGCCTCGACAAAATGGCGATATATCGTACGATGCGTGAGCATCCCGCCGTTATTTCCATAAATAACGTACAACATCGCATCCCCCTTTCATTTTTTCTCCAGCTCTTTTCTTCGATGATAAACTAAAACGACATCGAGGTCTCCTTCACCATTCATCATTCATCTATCGCATAACTATTACATCGGATTATGCGAGTGCGAAATAGAATCGGGTTTAATAATACTTGTAGTTCTAAAAGTGATCAATCAGAATTGTTCTTCTAGGAATAGATTGTCGTAGAACTATAGAAATTATTAAATCGAATTAAGGGATAAAATTGTGGTTATAGTTAAATAACGTGCTCCAAACTAAGGATTTAAATGGAAAGGAATAGATAAGAATGGAAGGAATAGATTGTCGTAGAACTATAGAAATTATTAAACCGAATTAAGAATGGGATAAAATTGTGGTTATAGTTAAATAAAGTGTTTCAAACTAAGGATTAAATGGAAAGATATAGATGCGTACACAATAAAAAATAAAATGTTAATTATAACATTTTTCACATGTCCCAGAAAGTCCACTCTAAATTTTAAATAACTCGTTCATCGTACGTTACTTAGTGACAAACTAAAAATGTTAAATAATTGACACAGTACTCTACATTTATTTTCGTGACTTTAAGTGTAAAAATAATATACAAATAAATATACAAATAAATACAATAACATACAAATAATAACAAACAAAAATAACATACAAAAAATAACATACAAATTAATTAAAAATTACATGAAAAAATAGTTATAATAACTCGTAAGAAATGTTGA